CGTGAGCCAGAGAACCCCAGACATAGAAGTCAGCTGCTACGCCCGGAGAACTTGTCCGAAGAGAAACTGACGTCACCCGTGGCCGTGCGTCTCTGGGCCATAAGTTCAGCTGGTACGCAGCGTAGCGGACTGCCTAAGGCCACATGAACTAGGGGGCACCAGCATGGCACATGGAGGTTCGGGCAACCTCCATGACCAAGCCGCTGCGTCGCTCAGCTACCCCGTTCTGCTTCTGCGAGGCTGGTAGCGTTTATGATTGGGTGATCCCCCGACCTTGACATAACGTCTCCAGGCGAGTGGAAGAAAACTCACCACCACGGTCCGAGTGTGGGCGAAGCCCACACACGCCCTTGGTGCCACCCCCACGCTAATAGCTACGACTCGAGGACGGTAGGCACGTCGGTCTTCCGTCATAAGGGGAAAACCGTAATGTAGTAGAAGTAGTCGTCCACTACAATCATGAAGTAGCACTTCTAACATGGCCCAAGGACTGGGGAGGGGCCCCAGACGTCCAAGTGCAGGGTCTGGAAGGGAGCCGTGGTGGGGGGAGAAACGAGTATGAGTAAGGGGCAGCGCGCTGCCGACCCTCGACGCAAGGAGTGCACGGCGGCGCAGGTGAGCGGGGAAGCGGTGCAAGCGACTTTGGAAGACGTGAAACCAGACGGTAACGTGCTATCCTATTGAGATGTGGGAACGACGGGTGACCTAGACGGTAGTGCCAGAGGACCAACAGGTGGGTGAGGGACCGACAGTTACACGACACAGCAGCTACCCTGACCTGACCTGACCCAGTGTGGTAGGACCTAGTGTGTAGTGAGAACAGACCAGAGCCCAGCTCCCTGTGAAAATTGGCCCCAGTGGAGGAGGCAACAGGCTTGTCGACTGGGAAAGTAGTGACTACGCCTAGGTCGTGGAGGTGACTGACACCCACCAGCATCCTGGAGAACGAGGGGGTGTAGTAAACTGTGAGGGAGCCGCTAGACACGGGAAAGTGGTGGTGCTGCGGGCAACTACAGGTCCCACAGAGGGGTCAGCCAAGGCGACAATGACTAGAGTGCGCAGTGGTGTGAGGTCAGTACAGTCGCAAAAGAAACAGCTGGACGCTCCAGAGTCTAGGGTGAATGAAAGTTGTGCAGTCTGTGAGGTCGCACCCGAACCAGCTACAAAGGCTAGTGCTAGACTAGTGGTAGCTGCAACTCCTACACAAAGACCCTCAGAGGCGCCTGGACTGGAAACAACACACGCACCAAGACTGGAAACACAGGTCTCTACTCGTGCAGCCGGGAACGGTCCTAGACCAGGTAGGTGTGACTCAACTGGTGCAATAGTGCGCTGGCAAAATCGCGAGGGCCAGTGCGGTGTAATAGCGTGAGGACCAAAAACGCTCACGGTGGAGGTCGTCGAGTCAACGGTAGCAGCTGGACGCAGAGTGGTCAGGACTCCAGCAGGTAGTGTCAGCACCAGTGCATGTCAGGGCTCGGTACCCGCAGGGGCCGACGTCTCGCCCACTGCTAGCTGAGCCATTGCTGGGGGCTCCACACTTTGGACCCGCAGGTCCCCACTGCCGGGAGTGTTGCGGCTGGCCCTGCTGCTGTAGAACTATAGTACACGCCATGTGAGTAGCTAGAAACGTGGGGGAGGGGGGGGGGATGCGCTGGCGGTAGCCTAAGCTGCTGCTGGTGCACTGGGGGCAGCGTACTGCTAGTTCTGCTGGGGGCAGCCTAAGCTGCTGCTGGTTCTGCTGGGGCAGCCTAAGCTGCTGCTGGACAGGTGGGGCTGCTGGACAGGTGGGGCCGCTAGACAGGTGGGATAGCTGGACAGATGGGGCTGGCCGACAGGTGGGGCTGCTGGACAGGTGGGGCTGCTGGACAGGTGGAGCTGCTGGACAGGTGGGGCTGCTGGATAGGTAGGGCTGCTGGTCAGGTGGGGCTACCAGTGCATTTCTAGCAGCTGCTGGCACTGCTAGCACGGTTCTAGCGGTTGCTGGCATGGCTAACACGTTACTAGCAGCTCCTGGCACTAATGGCACGGTTTTAGTAGGTCTGGGGCGGCGGGTTCAGGTCTGGGGCGGCTGTTACCAGGTAGGGCGGTTAGAACAGCGGGCTTCAGTTTTTGGGGCGGCCGATTTCTGGTGTGGCGGCGGTTTACTGCTCGTGGGGCGGCAGATCGCGGGTGAGGCGACAGCTAAAAAACCAGGCGGCGAGAAAGGCAGCGGGTGGGGCCGCGTCTAACGGGTGGGGCGGCGGTTACGACGGGTGCGTGCGGCTGCTGCTGTGTGTGCGTGCGACTAACGACGCGGCCGCGGGGCCCGCTAACGAAGAGACCTCGGGGCCCACGGTCGAAAGGCCGTGGGACCCGCTAACGAATGGACGCGGGGCCCGCTAACGAAAGGCTGCGGGACCCGGTAACTAACTGCTGCGATAAGGGTGGGGTCTACGGGTGATGGGAAAAAAAACAGGAAAAACTGGCCGCGATCGACCGGTGGAAACAAGCGACGGGCGACGAGGGGGGGGGGGGGGGGGGTGGTTCTACGAGCGACAGGGGTTTTAAGGTAAGCGCGCTTCGGGCGGTCTAGGACGGGACGCGACTAGGTGGGCCCATAACTTAGTCGAGCGATTTTTTCTAAGGGGGAGATCTCGCTACGGTTAACCTAGCTTTATACCATGTCTCAATGTAAAAATTGACTAAAACAGAAGGTACAAACATGATATATGCAAAACCTAACCCTAGTGCAAGTACAAAATAACACAAGGAAGAACACCTATATTAGAACTACACAAACTATGGAATTACAGTTTGACAAGGTCAAACAGCGAGACACCGTCCCTAGAATCGCTCAGTTAGTACAGCTGTAGGTCATCTAGCCACGCGCCGAACTGTATCGAACGGCTCTCTGCATCAAACGAGAGTAGACTGAGAGTAGCCACCGCGGGCTAAGCAGTTGGGCACGCTAGCAGCAGGGCAGCATGCAGGGAGGGCACAAGGCGGTAGCCAGCAGGGCGGCACGCAGGCAGATCAGGGTAGGGCAGTACGCAAACAGGGCAGGGCAGCGCGCAGGCGGGGCAGGGCGGCGCGCGAGCAGGACAGGGTGGCGCAGTGGCTAGCGGCACGCGGGCAGGGCAGGGCGGCGTGGCGGCGAGCGGCGCGCGGGCAGGGCAGGGCGGCGCGGCAGCGAGCGGCGCGCGGGCAGGGCAGGGCGGCGCAGCGGCGAGCGGCGCGCGGGCAGGGCAGGGCGGCGCGACAGCAGGTGGCGCGCGGCAGGACAGGGCGACGCGGCAGCGGGAAGCGCCCGGGCAAGGCAGCGCGTGGGCAGGTGGGGGAGGGCGCGACGGCGAGCGGCACGCGGGCAGGGCAGGGCATAGCGCGCCCGGGCGGCGCGATGCAGGGCAGGGCGTGCGCGGGCGGCGCGACGCAGGGCAGGGCGTGCGCGGGCAGCGCGACGCAGGGCAGGGCGTGCGCAGGCCGGTGCGACGCAGGGTAGGGCAGGGCAGCGCGGTGGTAACAGGGCGGCGCGACGTGTGGGTAGCGCGATTCGGTGGGCCTTAAAAAAATCGGTCCTAGGAGAAGACCTGCTCTGAAACCATGTCAGAAAGTGTAAGGGAGAATGACATGAACTAGCAGCAGGATGGATACAAGTAATAACCCTAATTTGGGTTGATCCCTTTTTGGGCTACCCCATTACAACCTACACAACATGCAGCATATAAGTTTGACAACTTAATCTTAGTAAAGTATTCTAAGCAAGTACTAAACACAATGGTAAATAATGCGTTTACACTTTTTGCAGACCATAAGGTAAAGTAACATATTTACTACTAGTACAAACCATAAGGGTAAGTAAAACACATAACGACGGTACTAACCATAAGGTAGTAGTGCAATTATTCCTAAGGGTAAGTAATGTATTGCACTTGTTAACGTCTATAAGAGTAAGTAACGCACGTACTATCAGTACATACCATAAGGGTAAGAATTGTTCTTGGTGTTAGTACATTCCTATGGGTAAACAACGTATTTACATTTACTATGAACCATAAGGTGAAGAAATGAACTTATTGTTACTACCAATTACAAGAATAGGTAACGCATTCAACCTTTTTCCAATCAAAATATTCAGCACGTAATGTTAGTACAAACCAATAATGGTTTCATTTTAGCTATGCTGCTTGATACAAGGTCGACCTGACAGGCATGAGACAAAATTGACGATTTTTGTCGAACTTCACCAAGGGGGATGACTGACACTAGAAGAACTTGGCCCAAAGATAGACACCAGCCAAGAACGTACCCTAATTCTTAGTACGAACCATAAGAGTGAGTCACGCCTTGATTGTTCGTATCGACTGGAAGGATATGTAACGCATCAATACTCAGTACTGGCCATAAGGTTAAATAACAAATTTAGTGTGAGTACAAACTATAAGCGTAAGTAAAGCACATGATATTAGTAACAACCATCAGTGAAACTAACTCACTCGCTCCTATTACTAACCATAAGGGTACATAACAGACCCCTTGAACCTTCCCCCCCACAGCAGCACCAGCGGCGGAGAGAGAGAGGGGGAGGTGTGGCGGTAGTAGCTGCAGATGGATCACCCATCCCCTCAACCTCCCCCTTACATGAGCCGCCAACCCCGCCACTCCCCCTCCCCCAGCCGTCCCCTTCAGGCCAACACCACACCTCCTCCCCTTCCCGCTGGATACGGAGCCGGAGTTGGGGGTGGGGTGGCAGTTGTCGGTGGGGGGGGGGGGAAGGAGGTCTGGGGCAGAACGGCGGTCTGGGTGCAGGTACGGGGTTCGGACGGGTCTCGCGGACGGGGGCACGGACGTCGTGCGTGGTGCGGATGGCGTACGAGCGACGGGCGGGGTGCGGGGTGCGGGTGGCGTACGGGCGACGAGCGGGGTGCGGGGTGCGGGTCGCGGACGATCTGGCGCGTGCAATGGCGTAGCAGCAGCTTCTCCTGCCACTCCCACCACTCTCGCCACTCCCGCCACTCCCTTCACAGCAGTTGCGAAGTCGACGGGAGGGCGGGCGGGGACCTGGCGACGGGCAGCGGAGTGCCACGAGAAGCGCCCACCGCCCCTGCCTCCCCTGCCTCTGCCGCTGCGGCACCTCCCACTAGGGGCAGACGCAGCTCCTCATCATCACGAAGGTAGTCAACAGCTGCAGCCGAGGCGACTGAGGGGAGAAGGGGGGAGGGCGAACACCCCTCAAAGAAGGGAGTGCGAGGAGTGCCACGAGAAGCGCCTACAGCGACTATGCTAGTCTCAGCTGCAAGGAGGTGCTTCTCGAGCAGGTCGACAGTGAGGGTGGTGGGTTCAACGGCGAGAAGGAGGTCCCTGACAGCGCTAAGAGAGTCAGGGAGGCGGGTGACTATGAAGTAGAGAGTGATGTACATAGGAGGAGGGTTCTTGGTGAGAAACTTGGCGGGAAGCGCAGCGAGGTAGCGAGTGTTACTAGTGCAAATGTGAGTGACAAGGTCGGCTACTGTGGCAGAGGCGGACAGCTCTGGGAACAGGTAAGGCAGGAGAAGGCGGCCAAAGGCAGCAGTGGCCGTGGAGGAGTAACGAGCGAATATAGCGTCGTACAGCGCAATCTTGTGCTGTCCGAAGTAATCGCCTTCGGCTAACGGCAGGTGGTTGCGAACGGCTAGGCGAGCAATAACGTCAGGAGTAAGCCACTGGGAGCGAGCTACACTGTCAGCTGTGTCGGCAGGGGCGATAGAGGCGTAAGAAGTGAGGTCAAACAGCGTAATTCCATCCTTAGAGTTGCTCACTAAGAATACCTGTAAGTCATCGAGCCAAGTGTTGGTGTAAGGGCCTAATAAACTCAAGCTATTAAGACTTTATCACACTTAAAACCTCTCCTCGGGGTCACCTCCAAGGGTCCTTGGGTGCCTGGTACAAGACCAGCCCCTATCCTCGGGTCCGAGTTTGTAGAGAGAGGGATCAAGAGGGACTTAGTCAAAACAGCAAGAGTACCTTGAACGTCGCGCAGCGTATCGTGCAGACCGTCGATCGGATTAAGCTGAGAATTTCCTATATCGAAGCTCACTCTAAGAGCTTTAAAATAAGCCAAGTTGCCTCGCGAAAAGTTCTGCCATTACGAAGTTATGGCTCGGACAGCGTTAGCCTAGCGTTGGAGTGCTAGCGTACTAGCGTTGACTCGGGTAGCATTTCGCCGTCGCACCGCGTAGAAAAGAAATTCCAGCAAGGAAGGAATTCGCTTGAATCAATTTCACTATATTCAGGTACAAACAGAGAAGGAATAAATAGCTCTAGCTAGCAAGGACCTTGGGAATCAACCTGGGAACAACCAGGGATGATCCCAAATAATTCCAAGCAACAGAACCAACCTGGCTGGACAAAACAGCAGGTGGTAGGTTGGTAAACAACCTCTGGTTCTGTTTTTCCAACCTGGGAAAACAACAACCAGGTTCAGGTCCTAAAAACAGAACCTGTTTTGTCTTTGCCCAACCAGCCAAAAGCTGGTTCCGCTAGTTTCCCCTGGCCCTGTAGCATGCAGATACAGACAAACAACATCCAACCTTTACCTAAATTGTACCCCTATAGTGCCTGCCCTGCTACACTATAGTCAACCAAACAAAACAGTACAATTTCGAGTTGGATAGAACTGAATCTGCGCAATCAAGTAAGTTGAACCGCAAAGCTTCCATCTTGGGTTCCTTTGCGAGCTCGTCCTTTCTGCTTGTACTGTTCATAGCGCGTACAATGTTATGCCGAAGCGCACATTTTGCGAGTACCTGCAAATGCTTCAAGCGAAAATTGCGAAAGCAAACAAACACACAAACATACCATTCACACGCAAATGCATTCGCACACGCATACTCATACAAACAGACGGCAGGATGTCGTGCAATGTGAATTTGCACCCAACACACTCCCCCTCAGCCTGCCGGCTGCATCCCCATCATTCCATACTAGTTCATGCTCATTCCACTCATGCGCACACAACGCCAATGAGACTCATCCGCAAGCCTCTTGGTGAGGAAGTCTGCTGGCTGCTGGTGAGTCTTGATGTAGATCGGATTCACCGTCCCCCTCTTCACCTCCTTACGCAGCCAGTGCCACTTGATACGCATGTGCTTGTTCAGCCCATGAAGCACAGCGTTCCTGGCCATCCCAAGAGCTCCCTTGCTATCACAAAACAGCGGCGTAGCAACCTTTTGCTCCTGGCCAATCTCCTCCAACAGCCTCCTCAGCCAAATCACCTCCTTCACCCCATGGAACATCGCCATGTACTCTGATTCCACGGAAGAGAGTGCTGTCTCCGTCTGCTTCTTTGACCTCCAACTAACCGGTCCTCCCCCAACTACGCAGATGTATCCTCCCACAGATGAGGAATCCTCCTTCTCAGAGGCCCACGTAGCGTCAGTAAAGCAAGTGAGAAAAAGCTTGCCTTCTCCAAGCCTCTCCCCCTTCTCTTTCAGCACCTCAACCCCTTTCTGCTTCACCTGTGCAGATGCGGAGTATTGAACTCCAATGCTTGGGTGAGAGTTCAGATACTTTACCACACGCTCAGCTGCATCCACCTGCTCCTCTGATGGATTCTGCACTACCCTAGCCAGCTGCCCAACCGAGAAAGAGATGTCGGGTCTCGTGTGAACTGCTGCATACAAGAGGCTGCCCACCAAGGACTGAAATTGGTGCTGCTCCTCGGCTTCAACCCCTTCATCCTCTGCAGCTTTCACAAGCCTGAATTCTGCTGGCAGGGGAGTTGCAACCTTGCGCTCATTCTCAATTCCGTACTTCTCCCCAAGCTCCTTGATGAACTTCTCCTGGTGCAGCTTCAACCACCTGTGATCCAGATCCCTCTCCACGTGCATCCCGAGGTAGTACTTTACCTCCCCAAGGTTCTTGCACTTGAAGTTCTCCATCAGCTGCTGCTGCACCTTCTGGATCTCCTTCATGCTGCTGCTAAAGAGAAGAATGTCGTCCACATAGACCAGAAACAGCACCAGCTTCTCCCCCTCCCCCTTGAGAAAGAGGCTCTCATCACAGCTGCTGGTCCTGAATCCCATCTCCTCTAAAACAGCTGCCAACTTCTGGTACCAGCAGCGTGGCGCCTGCTTCAAGCCGTAGATGGACTTTTTCAGCTTGCACACCCTGCCCGTACCATCCTCATACCCAGGTGGCTGCGTCATGAACACCTCCTCCTCTAAAATCCCGTTGAGAAATGCCGTTGATATGTCCATCTGGATAATGAACTTCCCACTAACGGCTGCATCTGCCAACAAGACACGAAAGGTAGGGGGTTTGGCAGTGGGAGCAAAGATCTCATTGAAGTCCCGCTTCTCCTTCTGCATAAAACCCCTTAGCCACCAACCTACTCTTGTAGATGGTGACCTGCCCCTTGTCGTCAGTCTTGATCCTTAGCACCCACTTGCATTGTACCGCTTTCTTTCCCTCAGGCAGCACCACTAGTTCCCAAGTCCCATTCTCCAGCAGGCTCTGGTACTCAGCATCCCTGGAAGCTAGCCATTTGTCCCTATCTGGTCCAGCTAATGCCTCCTCCATGCTAGCTGGTTCCTCTGGTGCAGGGGCAAGAAAACAGTACGCAGGTTGATCCTCCTCATCCGGGTCATAGCCATGCGGTAGAATCAGCAATGCCTCCTCGGTCCCAAGCTGCTGCTTCGCTACATCAGCTCCTGCAGTCAGCTTCTTAGTAGCCATACGGGTACGTCCTGGCCTGGAGACGGGTGTCTCCCATCCCTTCATAACGACACCCTTCGGCTTCTTAGTTTTCCCCTGCTGCTGCTCTCCTCCCTCGGATCCAGCAGCTCCACTAGTGCTACCGCTAATCTCCACACCATCACCTCCACCAGCAGGTGCCTCCTGCACCTTCTCTTTATCACCACCCTCTGCAGCTGCCTCCTCTCCCTCCTCCCACACACTAGGAGTCAGGTCCAGCTGCATGGTAATCTGCTCCATCTGCTGGGACACCCTGGCCTCCGGCTGTTTCTCCCAGCTCCCATACATCATGCCCTCAACAAACTTCACATCCCTGCTGTCAAACAACACACCCTTGGAAGGCTCCCACAGCAGCCATCCCTTGCTCTCAGCAGCCAGCCCCAAATGCACACACCAGATTGCACTCGCCCCCAACTTACTGCGGTAGGTCTTGGGAACGTGGGCGACTGCCATGCAACCGAACACCCTCAGCATGTCCACCGGCGGCTTCCTCCCAAGCCACCTCTCCAACGGCACCCACGAGTCATCCCCAACCTTTGTGAGTACCCTGTTCCTAGCGACGGTAGCGTGCCGAACAGCATGGGGCCACATGGAGTTGCCCAGCCCAGATTCTATTAGCAGCGCCCTAGCTGTCTCCAGAATTGTCCGGTTCGCCCGTTCTGCTACACCGTTAGACTGTGGGGTGTAAGCCGTGGTCAGCTCCCTCTGGATGCCCTGCTTCTTGAGCCAGGTCGTCATCTCAGCTCCAAGGAACTCACCACCCCGATCTGTCCTAATCCGCTTCACCACACACTCCGCTTGCTTCTCCACGAACGGCAGCCAATCGTCCCGAATCGTGGAGGCGGCGTGATCTTTCTGCTTCAGCGGATACGCCCACATTAGCCTGCTCCAGTCATCCACTATGGTTAGGAAGTACCGCTCCCCCTTGTGCCCTTGCACCGGCAGCGGCCCCACCAAGTCCATGTGGACCAGCTCCAACGGCTTTTTGCTCCTGCCAGCCACACTATGGAAGGGGAAACGGGTGAACTTTGAAAGGAGGCAAATTTCACAGTTATCATCGGGTGGTTGTCCGTTCAGCTTTAAGCCCTTAACGGCTCCATCCTTCTCCAGCTGCTTCAGCAAAGGCATTGCCACATGCCCCAAACGTCGGTGTGCAGTTGCCCAATCTGTCTCCCCAGATCTGGCCGACACTTTCACACCAACCCCTCCAACGGCGTTGCACTCCCCCTGGGATGCAGACCCCTCTCCAGCCTGCCCCCCACCGTGCCACGCCAGCGCCGGCAGCTGCCACATAGATCTGTACACGTCCTTGCTCTCGTGCAGATCCCAAAGCACCCGATTGCCCAGCTTCCCCTTATAAGTGCGAGCCCCATCCGTGTTGGTGTTCACCCCAGCCTTGCCAAGCTTACGGAGGGAGATGAGGTTGGCCTTCAGGTCGGGGACGAGGAGAACGTCGTGCAGCACCACCGGCTTGCCATCCGCTCCCTTAAATGCAGCTCGTCCCGCACCAGCCACCTTCAACATGTGTCCAGAGGCAGAGCACACCTCATTAATCGGTGCAGCGCGTACGTCGTCCAGCAGGTCCTTGCGCGGCGTCATTGTCCAAGCAGCGCCTGTGTCCAACACCCAATAGTCCAGGGGGTGCAGCTCTGCTCCAGCCTTAGCAGATGCGTCTCCTTGCTCCCCCTTGTCTCCCATATGGAAGAATTGGCCTGCGGTGCGCTCCTTCTTCTTCTCCGCACCGCCGTTGCCCTTCGGGTTGTTGTCGGACGAATCAGCGACCATGTTGGCGCCGTTTTTCTGGTTCCTCCGCGCGCCGCCATCCTGGTGACGATTCTGGGGGGTCCATCCATCGGGTTTCTTATAGCACAAAAACCAGGGGTGCCCTTCCTTCTCACAATACCAGCAACTCCCTTTCATTTTGCCACCAGCACCCGACTTGCCCCCACGTCCAGATTTCGCACCGCGACCCCAACCGGTACCTCCTTGTTGGTCGTTGGAGTCGTCGTCTTTCTTTGCACCGCGTCCAGCACCACCGAAGCCACGTCCTTTGCCACGTCGGCTCCCTTGCATCCCGTAGCCGCT